TTTCCCCGGGCCCCGCCATTTTTAAATGCCCGGTAGTCGAACTCCGTGCCCGCGGCTACACGCGGCATGGGCTATGTAGTTCGAACTAAAGCCCCTAATTCGGACTACTGTTACTCCTCCTTCAATTAGGGGCTTTAGTTCGAACTACCTAGCCCGTGCCACGTGTAGCCGCGGGCATGGAGTTCGAAATACCGGGCATTTAAAAATGGCGGCGCCCGTGAACATGCAAATGAAGCCCAGGATATTTTAATCCCGGGCTTCATTTGCAAGTTCGAATGCCTACATTAGCCTCGCTAGTTCGAACTAGGGGGCTAGTGTAGACAGACCCTTGTAGACTTTGTACCCCTTTTTGCTTCATAGGGCAATCCCTGGAGCGAATGTGTGAATGGAAAGGGTGTGGAAATCAAGCACCTCTAGGGGACAGAAACCAGATCCAGAACAATGGGACCTGTGAAGAGGGCTCATTGAAAGAAAACTGGGACCTATGGGCACCTTGGGAGTCAGGAGCTAGGGCCTGTTTTTTTTTGGGGGGGGGCACCTCTCCTTGGAGGGGAACATGGCAGCATTGAGACACCTCCCCCCCCCCAGAAAAAGGCACCACAGCTGTCTAACTGCATGTAGATCTGCAGGAGAGGGAAGACCATATCAATCTAAGGCATCTTGCAGGGGGACCCCGGGTTTTGTCTCGTCTGGGAGCATCCTGCCTCCACCCCTCCCCCATCTAACTCACCTGGCCCGTGCAGGTAGGGGGAGCAACTACCAGTAACAAGACAGACTGCTGGTGATATATCATATGCCTATGCTAAGGGTTGACTGAGGTCTGCGTTACCAATAAATGTGGCGTTTTGCCTTCCCCCCCCGAAAAGCTCCCATGCAGTACTTTTAAGTGCAACATAAAGGTGCCCAAATCCCCTGGGTTGTAACGGGAATCAAGCGCCTCTCTGCATGAGACGCTGCACTAACATCTCTCCTTTCTCCCCCGCTTTCCTCGCTGTGATTTACTTGTATTGTGGCCGCGCCTGTGGGCCTCAAGCAAAGATCAAGCTGTGCATCGAGCAAGCAGCTCAGAGCAAAAGTGCACGAGAAAGGAGGAACGCCCGGGAGAGAGCCCCATGGCCCGGCCTTTCTGGGCGCAGACCCCGCCTCAGACACGGAATTACTGAAAGGCCCCCCTTAGAGCCAGGGCAAACAAGAGTTTCTGCTTGGCGGGAAATTCCAACAGTTTCTTCCCGCAGTGCGGGAGCCCTGTCACACAGACACTCCAGCTCGATTTCCTGGGAAAAGACCCTTGCCTAGGCCTGTGCCACAGGCTGAATTTGTTCCCAAGAACCCTGCTTAGAAAAAAGTCAGCTTGAGTCCCAAATTACCAGGGAGGGAGAATCTACCTCTGCCCTTTAAGGTGTTCCCGGGGGTAATTCCCTCTTAGTTCAAACTACATTGCCAGCCATCCCTCCAGTTGGTAGGCCTAGAGCACAAGATCAGGGGCTACGGCGGGTGAGCTCGTCTGTGTTCCAGTCCCAACAACCTGCCAGGTGACTAGAGAGGAGTTACCTCACCTCTCTGAGCCTCAGTTTCCCCAGCAAGCTGAATTTATTGGGCCATAAGCTGTTCAAGACAGAAATTGTATATCACCCCTTTTCTGTTCAGTAGTTCAGGGCTGCATATCCATGAGCCATGTTGGGTGCCATTTGCCTCCCCCAACCCAACCAGCCACACCCCACAGGCAAGTGACTAAGGAAATGTTGGTTACTTGTTCCCATAAACACAAGAACTAGAGGTCACCCCGTGAAATTAATAGGGAGGAGGGTTTTTTTTTTTTTTTTAAAAAAAGGAAATTGTTTCTTCACGCAGTGCAGTCAACCTGTGGAACTCCTTGCCAGAGGATGGGGGTGAAAACCAGGACTTAACAGGGTTCAAAAAAAGAACGAGATACATTCAGAGGTTAGGTCCATCTGTGGATGCTAGCCAGAATGGGTAGGAACGGTGTCCTGCGCCTCTGTAGTGTCAGAAACCGGAAATGGGTGACAGGGGATGACTCACTTGCTGATTCCCTGTCCTGTTCACTCCCTCAGGGGCACCCGGCAGCGGCCACTGTCAGCAGACAGGACCCTAGGCTAGAAGGACCTTAGCTCTGACCCAGCCTGGCCGTGTTTGAGGGGGGATCCACTAGTTAAGGCCTTGCAAGACCCAGGACAGACCCCTCCTCTATCAGGCTCCCTGTGTGAGCTTGAAGATGCCTCCAGCTGCCTGTAATACGGGGGTCACTGGACAGCATCTGTAGGCAGCGCCTGGCCCCCGTTATGATGGCACTGCAGCACTTAAAGGCCCATGGTCCTGAGAGTGCCAGTAGGAATGGGGACAGCAGCCCAGACTTCGGGCAATGGAGTCCCAAGCTCACGGGGTTAGTGCCTCATTCCTGCCTAGCTGGCTCTAGGTGGGGCTGAGCAGTAGCTTCCTCCCCAGGGTGCTTGGGGCAGAGGCCTGGCAGCCGGCCTCCATCACACACAGCTGGAGGACTGGAGTCCAGGCACAACCGGGATGAGCAGCGCAGGGGTGGGCAACAAGCCAGTGACTGAGAGCAGCCGACTCAGGGAACTTACGCGTCTGGTGGCCGATGCCGACGGCCCATGTCCTCCCAGCCTGGTGGAAAATCGGCTTTCCCACCTCATGGAAACATAGGGGATTAAGATTCCCCTGGCACAGCGAGAGGAAAACCCAAGACCGGCGAGTTTTCCTGCACCTTGGAAGAGCCAGTCGCTTGGTGCCGTCTCTCGACACCTCGGGATGGACCAAGCAGCCTCTTCGAAGCGCAAACGCTCCCGGCCACCTGTGGTTACTTATGGACTCACTCGCTCCCAACGCACTTCCTGTAAGCCACCGCAAACGGGCACACCTTTGAGAGAGAGACCAGCACGCCAGCACCTCAGATTAGTCAACATTTTATTGTGGAAACACACACACCGACCAGCTGCTTCGAAAGTAGAAAGACTGTGGGGAGGGAGGGAGGGAAGGGCACGTGGCGGGGGGGAGGGGAGGAGAGAAAAGGGGAATTCCCACCCTGCAGATCAATTCCTCACCCTGCCCCTTCCCTCAAGACCACCCCAGGAGTTCCATGATCCTCAAATTTTTATTTTAAGCTCAGCACAACCACCAAAGAAAAAAAAAACACCCCAACAACCGAGCAAGTGACGAGTTAGTGCATACTCCTCTCCGGAAATTTAAAAAAAAAAATACAAATAAAATTAAATTAAAAAAAGAAATCACATGACTGTACGTGACACAGACAGAATTCACCGCGGGAAAGGTGTACGCCTGGAGGGTGAGATGGGTGGATGAAAAGGGAAGGGACCAACGGTGTTTTTACCTAGACCTATTACGTGCTGCCGTTCCCGACCAACGTCAAGGAATCCTCCCCCCACCTCAACACAACACAACACACCTCACACTTCCCCATCCTACCAGTAGGGGGCAGGGTGTGCACCAAGCTCTTTGCTTTTAGCTGGGTGGAGAAGGGTCAGAGTCTATGCCAGTCGGGGCAACATGGTCCATGAGTTCAGTCGGATGGGTGGGCACAAGGTGTGCACGTCGGGGGGGACGGAGGGCATGGGACCGTCTAGGCCACTTCTTCCTCTGCTTCCTCTTCGAACTCGCCTTCCTCAGCCGTGGCGTCCTGGTACTGCTGGTATTCGGAGACCAGGTCGTTCATGTTGCTCTCCGCCTCGGTGAACTCCATCTCGTCCATGCCCTCGCCGGTGTACCAGTGGAGGAAGGCCTTGCGGCGGAACATGGCGGCGAACTGCTCCGAAATGCGCTTGAAGAGTTCCTGGATGGCCGTGCTGTTCCCGATGAAGGTGGCGGCCATCTTGAGCCCGCGGGGCGGGATGTCGCACACGGCTGTCTTGACGTTGTTGGGGATCCACTCCACGAAGTAGCTGCTGTTCTTGTTCTGCACGTTCAGCATCTGCTCGTCCACCTCCTTCATGGACATGCGGCCCCGGAAGATGGCTGCCACCGTCAGGTAGCGCCCGTGGCGGGGGGCGCAGGGCGCCCCCCCGGTCTTGGCATCGAACATCTGCTGGGCGTCAAACATCTGCTGGGTCAGCTCCGGCACGGTCAAGGCCCGGTACTGCTGGCTGCCGCGGCTGGTCAAGGGGGCGAAGCCGGGCATGAAGAAGTGGAGGCGAGGGAAGGGCACCATGTTGACGGCCAACTTGCGGAGGTCGGCGTTGAGCTGGCCAGGGAAGCGGAGGCAGGTGGTGACGCCGCTCATGGTGGCCGAGACCAGGTGGTTGAGGTCGCCGTAGGTGGGGGTGGTCAGCTTGAGGGTGCGGAAGCAGATGTCGTAAAGAGCCTCGTTGTCGATGCAGTAGGTCTCGTCCGTGTTCTCCACCAGCTGGTGGACGGAGAGGGTGGCGTTGTAGGGCTCCACCACCGTGTCAGAGACCTTGGGCGAGGGCACCACGCTGAAGGTGTTCATGATGCGGTCGGGGTACTCCTCCCGGATCTTGCTGATCAGCAGGGTGCCCATGCCCGAGCCGGTGCCACCGCCCAGCGAGTGGGTCAGCTGGAAGCCCTGCAGGCAATCACAGCTCTCCGCCTCCTTCCTCACCACGTCCAGCACGGAGTCCACCAGCTCAGCCCCCTCTGTGTAGTGCCCCTTAGCCCAGTTATTACCAGCGCCGCTCTGACCTAGGCAAGCAAAGGGTTGGAGGGGGGTTCAGTTACATTCCAGGAACACTTAGGCTTGTATAGAGCGGGGGTGAGTTTCCACCCTCTACCAAGGGCCGCCCGGCTGTCCCTCATCCCATCCCATCCTGACCTGACCCAGGGGAGGCGGGACTCAAACCCACGACCCTGTCCTCCCCAGGTGAGTGCCCAATCCCCTAGGCTACACCAGAACCCACCCCACCAGCCCAGATAGGACTCCACTCTTGACGGACATCCTGGGTATTGGGATCTCAGCAGGATCCCAGGGTTGATTGCCACCTGGACAGCTGGTTGGGAGTTCACGGGCGCCAGGCACGACCAGCCCTTTCAGCGGGATGGGGCAGAGGACCAAGGAGCTCCGTTTGCCCGCGCCGGAGGGGCCTCCTTGTGGGCTAGGAAGGAAGCACGCAGGAAACATGCCAACACCCCCGCCGGCTACTAGGACTGTTCAATCTTGGCTAATCGAATAGTCGAGTAACTGCACGAATTTTTATCGGTTAGTCGACTAGTCTAGAGTCCCCGGGGGCGGGGCGGCAGCTAGTGCGCTCCAGCCCCACTTCAGAGAAG